GGCGCGCATCAGAGCCGCCTAACGGGCAGCTTCCAGCTGCCGCCTCTGTGCCCGTCGAGGTCAATGGTGATCACACCACGTTCCTTAGTCGACGAGAAGTTAGGAAACGGACATGGGGTCCGCAAGGCGCGAGTAGGGCTCGTCTCACGGCGCGAGTATGGCTCGTCTCACGCCGCTGGTGCGGCTCGCCTTCCTCGCCATTCCACTCGGGAAAAGGAGAGTCAGACTCGTAGTCGACCACCTCCACATCCTCAACGAGGTCACCCGTCACTGATTGGGGTGCGCGGAGCGCGACGCTCGGGCTCATCGAGGTTAGGATTTCCATCCCTCGATGCCGCGGACGCACTGTCCCACATTGCACCGCGTGCGGGAGACGAAGTTGTGCTCTGCCCATGTGCGCCGTCAGAACGAGCGAGACTTGGTGACTTCAGTGTCGTTGACACAGGGCTCACTGAGCACGGAAGTCGTTTTATTCCAATGAACCAAATTGCAATGTCTAGCGGACACGCAAGCCTCGTTGAGGCAATATTCGATTGGAACTGTAGATGTTCTCAATCTTAATGGGGGGAGTGTAACGGGGTAACACATACCCTGGTCACAGGGGTGTGTCATTCCAGATGGGCATGGTGTGACTACTTCCAAACAAGAATACGGTAAGTGGCTGGGTAGCCAGTATGCAGTTTGTATGTATTTAGATTCTACTATATATATTTTGGAAAATTTATACATTTTAAAATTAGGCGGCTTTGCTGCAGATAAAACAAATAAATACAGTTTATATTTTAAACATGAAGTGTATATTAGCCTAGAATTAAGGTTCTAACTACTCTTGGAGGTAGCGGATTACGATCCGCTACACTCATACTGGTTCTTGTAAAGAACGTAAGGTCGGTGACCTAAATTGAGCCTCCAGTGAGCGCAAAGCTACGGCAGCCCCCCCCTGTAGGTACAGTTTACTTAGAAACACGACAGTCACTATGCCTACATTTTAGTATCACGTCTGTTTCGCTTTGTGTAAAGTTTCTGCTTGGCTTCTTGCATAAACAAGCATCAGCTTTCTTTTCGTTTGTAATCTGCCAACTCAGTTTGTGATAGTAGGCTTCGCCGCAATCTCACCATCACCAACCGCAAGCAGCTCAAGCATTTCCGAACGACATCCTTAACGCAAACATCTCGGCAAAACATAAAAATTTACGAATTTACCGAGCGCACAAAGTATTGTATAGACCAGACCAAAAGTTTAGTCATGAGATCATTTCTCAAGCAAAGATAACTAAGTCGCATTACAATTTGGAAAAAAAGAAAAACATACATCCTTTGTTTCGTTACTCTATACTAAGGTATGGAACCTACGATGCTTCCTGAACGCTTGCCATGGAGACATCCATGGAGGGACTCAGCGTCATGGCCGCCAAAATATAAGAGCTACGAACCTCTATGAAAGTTGAAGGCTTAACGATGGCCAAATATCATGAGAGTATGAAAGAAAGTATATGGTAAGTGAGCTCATTTTTCAAGTCTAAGAACATGGACCCGATGGCGAACGAATGCACCGGGCAGCAGAGATTTTTTCCACAATTCTTGCTGATCCTAGGGCGATAGCCAATCGGATCTGGGGCGTGAGAGTTCAATGGGACCTCCATTAGCGACGCTGATCTAATTTCAACACGAGCGATGACACAAGTTCGAGCCCCCTGAGGCTTCATGATCATTAACACCAGCTCAAGCAAGCTGCCACAAATCTGATGGCTTATGCTGCTCATTTCCATACATAACAGCTAATTTTACGATTGTAAGTTGGCAAAACCATCATATCGTTATCCTGGGAAAGCCGATACAATGCTGAACATTCAAACAAATATATTTTGCCCCTCACAATAGTGAACCACCAGCAGGATTGGTCTGAAGATTTTGCTAAGAGTATATTAGTACATACGAACAAATCAAGATGAGGGCATGAAGGACTTAGAAAGACACATTCATTACACAGACACACACGTTGGACTGGAAAATACAAAGGATATCGTGACATTCAAAGGCATATTGTAGTTCCCTGAGAGAGCTATAAGTGAACATTTATTGTTACGCATGATACCCCCTGAATGTTAAGCTTGGTTGAACAGGAAGGTGACGAGCATATAAAAAGTGGCTGATTGAATGAGGCAAGAGAATAGGTGCTAGCAAGTTAGATGAAATGTTTTTTGTCGCTCATAAGGAGCAGGAACTTCAAAACCTTACGCTGATATATGAGTTTAATCTCAAAGTATGATTTGCACTTCAAGGTTAGGTTATTGCTTGAACTTTTTGTCTTGCATTTATCACAGATTTTACTTTTAAAGAGCAACAAAAAGTCAATATCGATTCTGCTTTAATGTTACACTACGCAGACAAATTATTCTTCAATAGAATTGCGAGTATAATGACGAAGACACAGCACCATGATACCACTTATTTTCAGAAGGTAAACGCACTTGCATTTTAATCACTTTAAAGCAACGCTAGATAAACTTAATAGTTGACAGAGTTGGAAAGATAGTGAAATCGGTTGAGATAAACCACACACTTACCGCTAGCATTGTTGGCAGTGCTAGTTTTAGACGTCAGATTGGAACCTGTCTGTGCGCATGTTAAACGGTTTTGGTTACTCTTGCATTGATACACTCGTAATTGATCCATTGTGGTTCAGAGTGTGATCTTGTTACCATATTGTCCCGCTCCATACTCCGCTGAGCATAGAGCAAAACACGGCATTTTAATTCGCCAATATTCTATTTTTTTTTGACTGCCAGAAGGAATTAATCATGTATTCAGAAGTGGGAGATTTGGAGAAGCATATTTTGGAAAATACTTTTTTCATTTAAGATTTTAAACACAGACTGATGTGAAACATGCTCGATTTATGTACATCTAGATCTAGTCTTCCTTTTAAATGTATTTGTGTTCACCCTACTGGCATATAAAGATGATTCGATAGTAAAAATGGCTTCGGACAATTAAGCAAAAAATGTTTTTTGAGTGTTTATACGCCACACCATAAGTGTGATTAGGGGTCTCCATCAGTCGGGCTGCTGTTTTATCAGACCGTTTCTTTCAGCGCAATAATGTGCGTCGTAAATAATGATGACTGGCCATAGCTGGCGAAAAGCGTAATAATTTGAATCTAAGTTGATACTGAAAAGAACTCTTTGTGGTTGTAACAATACTTCGTGGTAGATGTTGTATGAGCATTTTATGTTGAGCATGAAAAAAAATGCATGAATGTATCGTGCATTGCGGCATCACTGGCGAGCGAAAGTGTCAACATCATACACAACATTCTTGCCGTTGTGCAATCCCCTTACGCCTATTTCGGACTTGAAAGAAGCTCGCAAGTCAATGTTTGATGGAGGAAACAATAAGAACAATATTTCAAACAAACCAAGAATAGAGCACATTTGCAGAACTTTCGTGTACTACCAAGTCTGTACACTGCAGCAAATAGAGGCTGAAATGATGCTAGTTTGATATTTTCTGACTACCGCTCACTGCGAAGATTGAGCCTTTAATTGAGTAGTTGGTCAAAGCCACTGAGCGCATCACATTGCATGCAGTCAACTCGCGACTGTTATGTCGGAAGTGCTAGAGAAAACGTAGATTCGTTGTATAAGCAAGTTTTCATGAATGTGAAATTGATATCAAATTATAATACGTCATATCCTTACGCGACCGTTGCGTAATATTATTTTAACTTGAGGCGAACTATGATGAGTCGACGCGAGTCAAGCTCGTCCTGTACTAGCAATAGCGATGGCAATTCTGAAGATTTAGACGACCGCAAGGTGTTTGGCTTTCTCGACGACAATGTTAGCATGAGCTTGATCACTTCTAGCTCTCGAACGAGAAGGTTGGCGATACATTAAGCATTGGAATTCAGCCAAGTACATTGTCTTGACCTCATTATAGAAAGGAGCTAATTGCACACCTTTTGCTACTGATAGTCGAAGTGAAAATCTTTGTCTGGAATTATCTCCAAACATTACTGCTTTGGTAGACTTGCTGTCCTCTTTAATCATCTTTCTTGATATTGTTGCTCACTTTCACGCTCTATATGTAGGGCCGACAATTTGATGTTAAGAAAACCAAGTCCCAATTTATTGATTTTGTTGCGAAGTATGTCATACTGGTGCGTGTTTGTCGAAAATGTTAACGTTAAGCGACAATTGCTTGTAGTGAGAGTCTTGAGAAGAAACCACAAAAACGGTCGTTGAGCAATTTGTCACATGGCTCGCTGCCACTGGAACAAGTGACCAATAATTCTTCTGCCCGCCTGGGGACTGAATTGGTGTCATTGACTCATGATAACGCTGATATTTGTCGAACTGATGACACAAATAGGTCAGAAGCTCAAATCACAAATGAAGTGAACGGCTTCAATGGAAGTCATACAAAAACTCACGACGAAACCGCGCTAGCTGAGGCATTGACATCATTGAAGGCTCAAGTAAAGCAGCTGACGTGTGAAAAAACCCATTTAGAAGTGAAAGCAATCACAGCGGGGTCGACAATTGTAAATCTGGAGCAAAAATTAACCGCATCAGAACAGTCCAACATTCTACTTAATCGCCAGCTCATTAATACGAAAGAAAGCTTTCAAGCAAAGCTTATTGCTCGTGAAGAAGAGATGGCAGTCGAGAAATTACAACATGCGAAAGAAAAGGAGACGCAACTCCAGCACCAACAAGCTCGTTTTGCTACTCAAGCCGAGATTTGGAAACGGGAAATTGCGGCCTTAACAAAGGTAACATTGGATTTAAAAAGTGAAAATCACCGTTTGCAAACACATTTGAAGGACGAAGTGCGCCAGCGAAATTTTATTGATGCAAACCTCCGCACACTTACAGCAGAGCATGCAAGCACATGCGAAGAATTGCGGAAAGAAAAAGAGCGACACAAGATTGAAATGCAGGAGCTCCGGTCGAGTATGGAGATTGATTCTCAAAAGCATGCGCTGTCTCGCCAACTGCTTAGAGAACAATTGCATAATCTGCTGCTTGAGAAAGAGGATCATCTGTCTCAATCGACACATAGATTTCGGATAGTTTGCTCCAAGAATAGAAAGGGGGCTTTAACATTTTCTCAGTCGATTCAGAAGATTCGTGGCTTGCACAATTTGTTTCGCTTGTCTCTTCTCGAAACACGAGAAGTTTTGAAATTGGAGGCACAGAAAACGGAAGACGTGCTAAAAAGAATTCAAGAACAGGCTAGCGACTTTGTAATTTTCCGAAGTGATCGAGATTTAACATTAGTACCTCAAAAAAAGCAGTCATCCCGACAAGAGCTTCAGATCAAAGATTATTGGCAAACCATCAGTCGATTAAAAGAGACATTGGCAAAGTCGGAACGGGTGTTCGACAAGAAGCACGAAGCCCTTAAAGCAAAATATCGAGAACAAAACGACTATTTGAAAGTTACGTTAGCTGTGCGCCAAGGACTCACTACCGACCTTCATACTAAAAGGAAACAGGTCACAGATTTAGAGGGTGAAGTAGCTCGACTCCGACTTGCCAACAGTAAGACTAACGTCAAGTTGAAGCATTCACAAGAGCAAATTCTTGCGCTGCAAAGAACTTACGCCCGTGATATTGAGAAGCTGGTCAAGGGATCATCAATCAGCAGGAAGATCGATCACGTGCCGTCGCCTCCGGAATACTCTCAGGAGGCAACTGTAAGCTCAAAAAATTGTGAAAAACTTTGCATGTTATTAACATCATATTGCAGAGTGAAAGTAGAGGATTAGTGCAAGATGACGTGGAAAAATATGGTGCGTTCACTTTTACCAAGCTCGTGAGTATACCTTTCACATCTTTCGACGATTTTCTGACATTATTAGATTGGCAAGAATTCGTCGAACTCGTAGCTGCGTACGAAGCTGAGCGCCAATTGCATGCAGGTTGTGACGCGACAGTTACAATGTAATTAGATACAGAGTGAAGAGAGGATAAGTCTTATTTCTTCTTAGTTACCAATGCTGAAAAACAATTGTCTTGGCAAAAAAGTCTGTCAAGAGCAGCATTCATGTTTGTGCATTGTGTAGACGTTTAAACATCTGGAATGAGCTACTCGAAATACTTGAAATAGAAGGGGATCCAAACAACCCAGTTGACTTTCTGGTATTTACTGGAAGTCTTGCTCTAGTCGCTATGATTTACATTCTGTTCATCCGCTCTTCCCAAAGGATCACTGGCAAAACATGCTGCACGAGACGAGATGGCTGAAATCCTTGCTGTTTTGACAGTTATGAAATAGAATTTCGATAGAAATATCACGATTTAGGGTATTTTGTCAAAAATTCTTAGACGATGGCGTATATTTCAATGACATACATTGTGCTTAATCTCCAATTGAATAATGAAACATAACTCTGAATAGATTATAGTTTTCCAAGTGGCACCACATATGCCCAGCAGGTGCAGAATGAGAATCATTGATTTAATCCAACTGAACCAATCTAACGCCTCTTTTAGCATAGTGGCATTTTTGGAGCATTCAATTAAAACCCTAGTTTTGCGTCCATCTTGAGGCTTTATCATGTCTGCAGCTGTATGACGATGTTGTGTGTTTGTGGGAGTAGATTGCTCAACAGCTAAACCGCCGCAGGGTGCGCATTTTTCTCCTCACGGTATCTTGCAGCACAGCGCGCATCAAACTAGAAAGCGGACTTAACATTATTACTGAACTCAAAACTTAGCCGATAGCTGTACCAGCAAAATCCTGGGTATGAGCAAAGCTGTTCACGGTGCACACTGAATGTTTGCGTCTACCTGAACGTCGACGTCGTGCTTTGTACTTTGATATGTCGAGTATTTAGCGACTATGTGGTGGACCCTATAAAGTCTTCAACGGGTGAGGCGAAGTTTACTTTTCACCCAATGGTCGACGCAATTTCTGGCACTCTTGTCAGAGCCTTATACATATCCTCAAATTTTAATAAAAGACACGAAAACTTACAATTGTTGCTTGGACAGCCGTAAGCGGTAATTTGAAGGATTTGTGACCGATGCGGTCCGTCAGCGACTTTCAATTGCAAGTTCGCTCGACGACTGAGCGGTGACCCACATCTTAAAAATCAGCCGTGGTGCAACAAGCGTTTTTTGATCAAACTCACATCTATAATCAAGACATGATTTAGTCTGAAGCGACTACCTCGGAAATTGCCTTTTGTCCTGCGGCGAGGTCCAGCCTCTTTTACCGAACGATGCTGGCATGGTGTGCGTAAATTATGCGGCAGTGAGATCTAGCACGGAAAACGCAATATCCTCTAGAAAGTAGACGAAGAACGCTATGGTCATATAGAAAGCGCAAGTGTGATGTCGGGGCTCAAATAGTCACTGTGGAAACCCTCATCGATGATTGCATATCATGTCTCACCGAACGAATCCTGCATGGCTTGAATCGCGCAATCTGCGTCTTATCGGCGGCTAGTCAAGTTGTATGATTTGTCAGAGCAAGTTAAGAAGGAAATTTTCGAATCAATGAGCGCTCGAAGACTGAAATCTTGAAAGACGAGCTTTAGGTGTGACAAGTACTCGTACAGCTATCACTATGCGCGCAAACATATACTGTAATACTTAACGATCGAGGCTCCCATTCTAGTAAAGGGGGTGTAATGTGTATGTGATATGTTATCACATTTCACTGCGGACTTAAAGTGAAGCTCAGAAGACTTTGATGAAGTCCTAAGACAAAATTTCAAGATCAAACTTTGGTACGGATTAGACTAATGATACCCTGTAAAGGTAAACAGGTCAAACACGATGACTGTTTACCTTGTGTAATGCGTTGTGCAATGGTTGTCTTCCAAAGATATCTAAACAAATATATTTTGCCCCACTCACGGTTTATTCTCTACATCATTTCTAGCATTCTTGCATTTGATTAAAGAAGCACTGATTACCTGGGAGGCTTCCGGCTCGGCACCTTAGTGGCAGCAAGTGTATTTACATCTGCGACTTAGCGCGGATTCTAAGAGACCAAGCTTTCTTCGAGCGAGGTGCGCAGTAACCAAGTGGAAAGTTGAGAATACCGATCGCCCAATTTGAGCCGCTGTACGGAGCGAATGCGGTCATGGCGATGCAAAGCAAATCAACTAATAAAATTAATTGCTGCCTTTGGCCTTATGCATGAGGAATTTCACTTGCTGACAATTTTTCTGATGCAGACAGTCAGGGCCAAGTAAGGAAATACAATCTATCTCACCAGACGCGTGTTTTACACGGAAGAAAACGTCAATGGCGACAGCTACCTCACATCTTGCAAAGTGTCCTCAACAACTTTGTCATCCATGATGTATAATGAGCTCAATTGCTCACCATCTCGTAATACTTTGAGTAATAATATCTTCCCAAGCTCACAAGAAATTTAACCTAGGGTCCATGTGGAATACAAATATCTGATTGACCTACTTCACTTACTCCCTCTATGATCGGAAAAACTTGTTTGCCACAAATCCGTGAGAGTTCATTTCTAAGTATGGGTCATTCTCAGCAAAACCAGATCATAGCCTTTCTATCGACGACTCCTAGTCGCTTCTCTCTTAACAAGCTTTTGCCCTGTGAGTCACGGGTTTAAGCCGCTTCAACCCGTCAAAACACGGTCAAACTGGAAAAACATGGTTTAAAGCTATATACATCTAACTTAACGAGAAGTAAAACCGAAAATCGCGACGCGCGGTCACTCACTCTTGTCTCAGTAGCGATATACTCCGAAGACGGTGGCTCACAACCACTTTTGACTACCACGCTCTACTTAAGGCTCCAAGTAATGTCACTACTGAGTATTTTGGACAATATTAAATCTTGCATCAAGCCGAGTCTGCTTGCTAGCAGATGTGGGTTTATAACTCAACACATCTTGTAGCAGGAATAGCCCATCCGTGTACACACACTTTCCGAGAAAGGCTTAGGTCAACTGACACGCCTCACCGCGTGTTGCTCACTTTCAGCGGGCCGTTGACTTACGTAAAAGGGAGGAAAGGCGAAGCGACATCTATCATTATATTGGCCTTAACTTCCTACCTGATAAGTACTTCCAGCTCTGATACAACAGGACTGAAAGGGGATATACAAATATACAGGGTTTACAGTTAATGTGATACACACAAGTGTGTTGTCCACTCAATATGTGTTATGGAACATGACACATTACAGTTCATCAAGAACCAGCGATAGAAGAGATAGCATTTACCGCGAAATCGCTGGTGTTGGCAGTCCAACTCTTTTAAAGTAGGGATGGAAAAGGTCTCTTCGTCTTAATGAAAAATAGATACGGCGATAAATTCAGTCATGCACCAGATAAAGCAACAGCATGTCGCTCTTCCGGTCCCTAGCTAGAGATCGTGCGCAAGAATATTGTATTAACCTGCAAAACCTTGGTGAAAGAGGTAATCCAAACATGGATATTTGTAGCGGCTTATACCACGGGTTTACGCACCGCCATGCAAGGTAAGACCAGATATGTTCCCTGTTTCTGCCCTGAGAGCTAATTACAAGAGTTGGACTTAATCTATCAGACCCCCCTGAAATAATAAGAATCATTATCGTCATCAAACTCTGTTAACGGATGCGGCTAGCACCGAAACCTTTCACGTCCACCCCACCACTTCTTTTTTTGGAAGCGGTCTGTGTTGATCTACACGCGGAGGACAACTTCTGTGCTGCGAGATCTTGATAAGGCTCTGGGATTGACTAATCTTTGTGCGCTTCAGCAGCGATTAACCGCAGCAAGGCTGGGGTAAGAGAGAGAGATCGTTGAGATACTGAATTGCTTCTGTACTCGTAGATGTTTTTTCGTCTGGGGTGCAAACACTCTTGCGCCTTACGTGCCCCTTCTCTCGAGTGGAAATTTCTTATACAACATGCAATATATTGGGTAAAGGACTTTGCCACGACTTCGCAAAATAGACCTGTAATGGACGTAGCAAAAAAAGTTGAGGTCCGGCCATAGATTCCGGAGAAATTTGAACATATGTTGTACTATACGTGGGATGAGTAAAGTTACACCACAAATCTGCTCTTATAAGCAGGTTGAATGTGGATCTTTTGGTTCTAGACGATACAACATCGTTACCACCCTTTTAAGATGATATACCCACTGCTCCAGAGTTGCGACGTGGGTATTACCCGCAGTGGTGCTTGCAGTCATGAAGTGCGATTACAGCAAAGCCTGAAAAGTTTCAAAAATTGTGACAGAGATCAAGTACGCTTCGACAGACACGAAAAGTGGTGATATTTCCGATAACCGAGATCACTTACGAGAGCCAGCTGAAGGTGCCGTTCTCCGATGACACTGCCTGATGATGAAGGGGTGGCCTCCGTGCGCGTAAGCGTTTGGCTACACCATGGCTGTACTAGTTGTGACAAAGCTAGAATTTATGGGAGTTTGTGGCTCCACTTAGGCAAGATTGCCCTGGCGCCATTATTGCTCAGTGCCTAGCGCACCTTGGTGAAGAGGTACGGCCTTGAGTTGCAGCGCTCTTTCTTCGTTTTGAGTTGGGACCTACCTTATGATAAGTATAATCTTCGATTGCTAGTAATGCTAAAACTTGGGATGAGCGATACTTTAACAGTAAGTTTGGTCTGCCAACTCGACGACCACGTCGTTCATTGTAAGTTGTTAAAATCAAGCATGAGACTACGCTTTCAGCAGACGTCAGCTTCTCTGAAGTTGGCTTATGAATCTTTTAGCGGACAAGCCAGCGGTTTATTTTCTTCCAGTGCGTGACCTGTGGTTGATTCTTATCTGTAATTTCGCTAGCTATAAACAATCGACGGCCTTGCTAATTTGTGAAGAACGAGTCTCTCCAAACGCTACCTCTTTGAGCTAAACCGATTTTGTTTAGCAAAGTCATGACCTGTGTATAGTAAAGCGCTTGTAAAGCAAAATTCTAGCTGTATTCACTCTTTATAGAAGTGGAAGACACACAAACGTAAATGCGGAAGGTCTCCCCGCCTGAGCGGCGGGCAAATCTTGATGGTTGGCAGCTAAATTCATGACGTAATGAAGCTAAAAATCACATCCTTGCAGACGCGCGAGCTGGGCTTCCGAAGCTAGATCAATTTCGCCAGGCATAGTTGACAACTCTGCGGTGGGGTGTCACAACGGTTTATGCCGTACAAAAATGGCGCGGAGATCTTTACTTAAGCAGAGAGAGCATAGCGTAATGAGCACCAATTTAAGCAAAGAATGACTCGAATTTTTGCGCTAAAATTAAAACGAAAGTGTTGATTCAGACCTAGGGAAGTCGCCGCGACCGATTGATTGCAAACAGCTAAGACTTCACGCAAAAATCCATAAGGTCGAGAACCACGTGTTCGCTCGAAATTTGTCGAGCCTTGGGAGATGAAAAAAGGAAGAGGATGGAACTACACTGGATAAATCGTTTAGAAAGTGGAATGAAACCAAAGTGCACAAAGAGCTTTCACTTTCATTATATAACATATTTATAATTTTTGAAGTCAGGCATTTAAAAGATAATTTATTTTTTTACTCAAGAAATATGTGGCACAAGTAAGCTTATGATTTTGCGTTAATTATATTTTGTCTATTTGATATAGTGAAAAGAATACATCTGATATCAGTTTGATTTGAATCAATCTTGAACGTATGTCCCACATCAAATTGATAAGATCAAACAAGGTTGCCATTCTTGAAAAGATACTTTCGCTTCTGAGTGAAACGCATGGCTAGTTCATCTTTGGGTTTGTTGACGTGAACACTTTATAATAAAGCTTTTTGCTTGCAAAGTATCAGTAGCACTTGCAGATATCTCCACGACTGAGTTGTGAAAGAACTACATCATCCGCTAGAGTATTAATTTGCTTGAATATGAGTTTCCAAAACAGCATAGTCACCTGAATAAGCGTATATTTATCGTTGTTCATGCAGAAATCAGGTAAGTTAGGCCCAAGCAGAATTTGCAATGAATCGGCTGGAACCACTTACTATCTTTGAATCTTCAGCAATCGGTTGCGCCACAACCGGATACCGGTGAAATAGTAGATATCACATAACGTGAGCCTTTAACATTGAGTGTTCAGATTCTGATGGCTGGAGCGGAAAAAGTCTATTTACCTAGATAAGAGCACGGAATAGTCACAATAAGAAAATTCGATCACGCTTAGATAGCCATGGCAAGTCGCTCGTGCACAATCAATTAGAATTTTTTGTGTGCCAGAACGAGTGCATCCACGGGTATCAAACATTTGTAACGTACAAAGAGTTGGAGCGATATATTTATCGTGACTTTGCACCGCGTCACAAATTGTAACAAGTGTATTCGAAGGCTTATACAGCGATTGAAAGATACAAGTATTAGCGGAATATCACCAAGGGCTTTACTGCTGCAATCCAAGCCGTTTGCATTATGTAAAGATCTTCATGTATTACTCAGTGATACCGCCGACAGCCACACATACAGCGGAGCGGTCGTAGCTCTTTGCTTAGAGGAAGCTAAGCTTAGGTCATCAACCTTACGTTCTTTCCAAGAACCAGTACTAGTGTAGCGGATCGCAATCCGCTACTTCTAAATACTAAAGTCTTACTAAGGCAAACGAACACTTCTGTTCAAAGACAAAACTGTAATTAAATGCTTTAAATGCGGCAGAGCCGCCAATATCTACAACCCTAGAATTTCCTAATTAATATAGTAATCCTGACTTAATATAGTAATATGCATTATTTCTGGCAATCCTGCCGCGTGGTGACTTCTTGTTGCGGTGTAGTCACGTCACTGTGTTATTACACTAACTGTGTAAAACACACATATAAACGGTTGCACAATCTCGTGCGACCCGCCCTTTCTTAAAATGGTACATGCAATCTCATTACACTCTCCCCCAAAAAATAAAGATTATCCTCGAATCACGTTTTTGGTCGAATTATACGAGGCTCGCGTGTCTGAGACACCTTCACGTACATAAGAACGACTTTGAACCTTCTCAGTTTTATAAGCACTGTGTCTACGACACACAAAGACACAAAACACCCAGACTAGCTGGTAGCGAGGGCGCCCGCTGGCCTTCTTCTTCTGCACAGGGTGCATCTCTGGACAGTCCGTGGCTTTACGGGAAGCAAACCCCAAGTTTTTGGCAGCTGGGCGCGATATGACGCACCCACCCCAGGCGACGAATTTCCTCGTCGAGGAGTTGGATGAAGCCGACTACGAGTCAGACACTCCTTCCCCAGCATGAGATGGCGAGGAAGATGAAGTGCGCCAACGGAGCGACGTGAGCCCAGATCAAATCCTGCGGACACCATGTTCGTTCCCCGACCTCTCGACTTCCGGGGGAAGTGTTATTATTAATAGCCTCGACAAGCCACAGGAGCAGCAATTGGAGGCTGCTCACAGGGCGGCTCTGCTGCGCTCGTATGCACGTTCGGTCTTAGACTCGCGTGTGAAATACAAAATTCGCCGGCGCATTCCGCTACTGAAGCAAAAGACGCGATCACTCGATCATTAGGTGTCTACGTAGTCGGGCCTACGGCCACTAGCACAAGCTAAGCTTGACCAGCGTAAAGCTCTGCGGGTTCGCTTTTTGATACCCCAAGAGATACAAATGGATCGGTACCGCGCTCGACTTCGAGCTCAAAGGGGAGGTGCTCTTGTTCCCGCAATGCGCACCATCTCTGTGGTACTCGCCCCTGGCAAAACCGCTGCAGATGACAGGTGCAGCAGCACTAGAAACTGTCTACGCTAACTACCTAACAGCAAAGCCACAAGGAAGTGGACGTGCGTGCTGCGTGCCATCTTAGATTTAAGTTTGCCAAACACAAGGCGCAACGCCGACTTCCTGTGTATCGTTGCCCTGCGTCATCTGGAATTATCCATAACGCTCCCGCAATCTATGTGGTTTCACACAGTGGTGAGTCTACGACCACAGCAGTTTAACGACATAGCTTGAGCCCAGCTCATGGCCCTCCGGCTTCGCGGGCCACTGCCGAAAAGCGCGGTGCGGAAGAAGATGCGAAGCGTCATAATCCTTGTTAACATAAGCGTCCACGACGTCTGGGCAGTCTTGCCGAAGCAGCACCTCAAACTGCCGCGAGCTCTCAAAGTTTGGGTATCCCCGCTACTTCCCAAGATATTGGGTTAAACCCCCGTCGACCCACAAGGCGTTCCACGTGGTAGGGGACGCCACCATTCTAGTCAAGAATAATCGGCGGTGGACGATGATGACTTGGCCGATTGCCGTCCGGAGACTCGCGATACTCTGCGAGCGTTGGTGGACAAAGTCCGTCGTAATCGGCATTTTGCCGAGCATCTCTCCGAGGTCGCCTACCGCTGTGCGGAAGACCTCGAGAGTCATGAGCACTTTGTGCACCGACTGCCGCGCATTGAGAATTATCGTGCTCTGTTGGCGCGGATCCTAGCCGTCGAGTAGGCGAACACGTCACTTCGTGCGACGGTGGAGCGCCTTGCGCGGTTGAAAACAAAAATCGTTGCACTTGTGCTCAAAACCAGTTTCTGGGTGGCCGAGCGCTTTCTAAGCCGCCCAGTGCCAACGCTTTATGGTTTACTTGCATTGAACCCCGGTACAGCTTAAATAAACCCACATTAAAACCGGGTAGGTGCGCATCCTTATCGGAACGTTCAGCGTATATGACACTCCTCTTGGCCACGACCTTAAAAGATCCAATAAATCGTAGACGGAGCCTTATCATTCAGACAGCAGATCCCGTGGGTGTGAGACGATTTCTAGCATTCAATAAACCGGGCCTCCGGCCTCAATGTTTTTAACATTTCTTCTTCCTTTTCTGTCTGCAAATTCTTTCTGCATATCTTGGATTTCAGTCATAGCATCGCAAACGTACTCAGTCTAGTAGACAGGAAGTCTCCGACTTCTTCACTCACCGTGAGGGTGCTGACAGCAGCTAGCCGTTCGGCTATTCCCCCCTCACTAAGCCCTGACCCATGGGATGACGGCGTCAACGGAACGCGAGGATTAATAGTCCGATCACTTAGAACGGCGTATAGCCAGAAGATGAAGGCACTGCATTGTTTAGAGCAAACTCTTCGAGTGACAACATAGTGCTCCAATGCTTCGGCTTTTCAGCGCAGACGCTGCGAAGAACGACTTTAACGACACAATTCACGCGCTCAGACTGACCATCGGTCTGCGGATGGTCCGCTGATGACATTGTCAACTTGGTGCCCAGCACCATGAAGAATGTAGACCAAAACTTCCCAGTGGAGTGCAGGTCTCTATCAGAGACAATTAACTCCGGGAGATCATGTTACGATCGACAAGCAGCGTCGCTGCACCCACACCGTCGATAATGTTCGGTACTGCCGCAGATGAGCCATCTTGCTCAAATGGTCATCAAAGACCGCTACACCCGTGTTGCCCACCGAGTCCTTTGACAAGCCAAACACTCAGCCCAACCTCATGGACTGCCATCATTCGGAGGGTACCGGTAAACAGGCCAGCGGCACCGCCGTATTCTCACCCTTTGACATGTCTCACACAAGCGCACATATATACTTTTCTTCTTGTACAGCGTGGGCCACCAATAGTGGCAACTCACCGAGCTGTACGTCTTCTCACGACCGAGATGATGACTAAGTGGGGTATCGTGGGCCTCGTAGAGGATACGATATTTTAAATCCTCATCGTGAGGGTATACACCTCGTGGTCTATCCGTTTTATCGTGCTAAGATACAGCAATTTGTTACTCAACGAATATCAAAGTAACCGTGCGTGCAAACGCGCCGACAATTTCTTGTCCGAATTTTCAACTTCCTTGTTCCCGAGAGCCTGTAGCAGCGCTACACACATACTGTCATCCGCGTATGCGGTGCGGATCAAATCCGTCACTAACGACGTCACCGTCGTGATATGAGCAAGCTCATAGTCCGGTCTGCGTGGCAAAGCATCAGCCGAAGCATTCTGCTTTCCTGGCTTATACTTCACCCCAAAGTTATATTCTGCAAAGAATTTGAGCCACCTGGCAATCCTCTGCGAGATGCGCATTGTTTGTATGTGATTTTTTGAAAAGTCCATACACGGAGATTGTCCTTAAAGCGTCCCACAACTGCTCACCGACCGTTTTTTTGTGACTTTGCATCTAATACTTCCGCAGTGTTGATGACATCGTCGATAACGTCTTCGACGATCGCACATTTTTGCGAAATTTTGCCTTTAAGCTAATGCAGGCACGATCTCGGAAATTATCCCTGCAATAACCACTGCTATCGGTCAAACGATGGGATCACTTGCTTTCAGTCCAACTATAACTTTCTATTTGACTCTTTTATGTTCCAAACGCACGCTAAAATTTTTGAAGGAATTTGATACAACCACGAAAGTCCGCGAGAGCCAGCACCGGAATGACTAACATTAGCTGGCACTACTTGATGAGCATGGGGCGACCAACGTTTGAGTGGTATGTTTAGCAAGCGGGCGAGTACACCAAAATTTGATTAGTATCGGATCTAATTGTTTCATTTGAAGCTTATGAGAGTTTAGGCTCTGCTTCGTCAGTGCAGTGGCCACTTGGATATCTTGCCCTCAGCCATTATTTTAGTTGTAGAAGATGCTGGGCCGCCTGTCACAGCGCATAAGCACAAGGGAGAAGGACCCGACCTCGTGAAAAGTTGAATTATTGTGCTAGCTGTGAGAGCTGTATCAGGGAGACGAGCGGGTCTGTGGACAGAAGAAAGGGAGGTGATAGGCTTCTAACTCGAAATCTGCGTCATTTTGTTTCCATAACAAAGTCAAGCCATACCGACCCTCTAGGCGAAAGTTCGCTTTGCTAAAGCTGGTTTGTAAGACCTTAAGATCATTGAGACGACTTGTTGATCCCAATATGTGCTAAAACTTAAGTTGATACTCATCTGCACTCTTACCAACTTCAAGTGCCCGAGGTATATCCCTCATTGGTAACTTTTACTTTACCTGCCGTTTCTGCTCTAAGCGCTGGAGGTGCGCTGATAAGTGATGACCTGTTCGCTCTAGGTGTTAGCAGTAAAGGCACTATCATAGGTGCCAATGCTTCCAGGACCATCGCAGCAATCAATATCAGGCAAATTTAAGGCATCATCACGGCACGGTGATTGAGGCGAGAGCTGGAGGGAATATTTAGCTTGCAGTGAGCGTCATGTGCTAAGGCCAGCTTGTTGCTTACGAGATTGATCAGCCTATAAGTGATAACGGTGCGGTGTCACAACGGTTCCCACCAATGAAGCTAAACACCGATTATAAGCTCGTTTAGCGGGGAGGCTAAGCCCTATTTTTTGGCACTATGGCCCGCGAAAAATAGATGTCTGGTTTGAACGTTGCTTTATGCTTTAAAGTACAAAGAGTAAGAGCAACATTGACTCGATGTGGCCATTAATTCTTGCCCAACTCGTGAAATTAGCCGCTCTGCTCGTACCCATGCTTATATGATACCTAAAATTGGAGCAATGGAGACCCCACTCGCTAATGATAAGTTGTTTGTGCTACACGACCTGTCATTTACTCAAGAAAAGGAAATGGTGGGAGGAAGGTGGATTCGAAAAGATCTTTGCAGAAATGGGCTTTTACCTCTCAAAGCGTAGGTTTCGCTTGCAAAACAACAGAAGATTTGAAGACACCTTGCAGCCACCCCGACAGATGAAGCGCTTCACCGTATTCGTCAATATCACTCGGTGCTGGAAGATATGCCTCTTATGAACATTCGTTATCGACGAAGCACGATCATTTCAGCAAGTTCAACGGATTGTCTTTTGCGGGCGTCGTTTCCTTTTCAGATGTAGTTCCAAAAGCGATTTGTATCAAAATGTTTGAGCTACCTCATACGTCAAGAACTTGATAGATATTGTATTTCAGATGGTAGCAGAGCTACAGCGGAAGTTAAGATTCAATTGTCGTTAATGAAACGCTTTGTATACCGGTGGCCGGAAAGAGCTTAATCGTTGTATGATACGTCTTAGGCTTCACGACGAATGAACGTATTTAATGACGTATTCCCTTTGTAAGCTTCGACCCTCAAAGATACAATATGGCGAAGGCGAATGTCACCAATTTTGTAGACTGGTAGACAATTTATTTCTGCGTCTTAAATATCACCTACATTATTCAAAGGGTTCCATTTTCTTTTGGTGTTTATATGCTGTTTTAATTATTTTTCCTTTCAGCGATATGATTGCGCACATTGCGCCTGATGCTCGATCTCAAAAGAAATTTTCAATATAGCTTCGAGATACTCCCAGCCTTATTTCAGCATGTCGATTACTATCGCGACCATTTATACATCATGTCCGATACATCTACGTGGGGGCTTCAGAGCAAGCGTGGCTTGATATCAATGATTGATATAAAGACCCCAGGCCTATCGGAGCGTAAAATGGCTAATTAACACGAGCTGGTCCATTACCGCTGTCGATTTACACATATGCTCAATATATGTTTTTTAACATTTTTAAATCTCATTGTCATCAACAATTAATAAAAACATCTTTTGGGGGAGAAAAAAATATCTCCCAGATAAACAGAAAAATGAAAACAATATTTCAGATATTTGAAAAATATAAAAAGTGTATGCTACATCAAGTATAGTGTGATGTCAACAACAACAGAATAAAAATACGTCAAGAGCGCAGAGAGAAAGTGACAAAGAAACATCGTTATTCGTCTGTTAGTAACCCATGCAAAGCTAGAAACTAATTTCTAACTGGAAATTAATTTGCCAAATAACTATCAAGATTATGCGTTATCACAGGTTTTGCTGTAATGACCCATATCTTTGCAAACACCGCATCTCCGAACTGGTTTCTGCTTAAGCTGAGCAGTTGCATGTTGTGACGGACTACAACTCTTATTAGGTCCTCCACGTTTCTATAAAATTCGGGGAGGCTTGCAATCATCTGTGATTGTAAGTGAAAGACCTTAAATGGGTATTTACTTGCGAGATGTATATATATACACATTTACATAACTATACTTTCACTTGGAGTATTATTTGTTTCAAACCTCTGGTATATTGTTTTTATTTTTCTTTATTTTTTTATTTTCCCTTTTTTATTATTTAAAATTAGCTTTCATAAATATCGATGACAATGGATATAAGAAAAAAAACTGTCATAAAAATAAAAAAAAATCACACGTTCTTCAAAAACCCAACATAGTCTACGTCTGAAGCATACGACAAATAGTTATGATGTATCGATTGATACAAATGCAAAATAAAATAATGGAGCTTTTTTATCACTAAATTCATTTATAATAATAACTGAAACATTAACTGCAAAAATAGTACCGCTTTTTCGAATGAAGACGGATGCACGCGGAAGACTTCTATTCTGGCAACGTCAGTGTGATAGCCTCCCATAAAGACGGTCACTGTGACCACCTCCGGAAGGGGATCTGTTGCCATCCCGGCAATGAGAGTGCGCATATGTTGGACAAAGTCCATCAATTCCTTGTTGCCCTGTCGGGTGGCAAGGAAACGAGATCGTACGCGATATGCCTGATTAGGCGGCGAGAACACTCGTGAGAGCTGCAATTTCA